GATTCCCTGTCAGTGCACATGCCCAGGTTTCGGGCTCGATCCCCAGTGTGGGGCGTGCAGGAGACAGCCGATCAATGATTCTCTCTCATCATTGATGTCTCTCTCTCTCTCTCTCTCTCTCTCTCTCTCTCTCTCTCCCTCCCTTCATCTCTAAAATCACTAAAAAAAAAAAGATATTTAAAAAAAAAGGAAGGAAATTGAGCAAAACTGAGACTGGCCACAATGGGCCTCTCTCCCCAGTGTCTGGAGAGGTGCTGCTCCCTTCACCCCTCCCCCCCCCATCCTCTGTGGAGCCCATGTGGAGACCATTCGCAGCTTTCCTGGGGCAGAGCTGTGCTGAGGGGCGTCCGCACATTCTCGTGACCAGAAGCAATGACACCTCTTGAGAAGGGCTGTCAGACATCCTACCAGGCCAGGGCCGATGCCTGGCCTTCCCCATGATTCACGGCTGCTGCAGAGCCAGCGCCCCACATGGCGCAGGGGCCAGGCCAGGGGCTCCCTCCCAGGCCCCCCTGGGAATCACAGCCTGCCCCACGTCACCGTGAATGTCAATGCGCTCACAGTGCCGCACGGGCCAAGACAAACCCGATGGGTCTGGTTGAGGGCTCGGTGCCAAGGAACACACAGCTGATGAAGCCACACACAGATGCGCTGAGGTCATCGGCTCTTCCACGTCTCCATGGGCTCCTTCCTGGGGCGGCCTCGATGGAGAGAGAAGACCTGGACCAGGCCATCGAGGCCATCGGATGAGCCCTTGCAGTTCCGAGCCAGGAGCTGCCCCCTGCAAAGCGCTCTTTGGGTTGTTGACACATCAAGTGGACAGTTGGTGTGGAGACAGCTGTGGCACCCAGGACACGGGGCTCTGGGGCTCCTGGGCCGCGAGACAAAGGGATGTGAGGAGGGGGCAATGGGCACGGCGGAGGAATGCCCGCTGTTTGCAGACCCCGTGGGAACAGCCGCCCAGTGGAAATGACCGAAGATGCTGTGAGGGTGACTGGTAGTCTCTCAGATCGGAATGGGAAAGGGAGGGGTCAGTTTTATTTAGGACAATGCCGAGCTGAGCTGAGCGTGATGGAAAAGTCCAACTTCGTTCTCATAGGGTAAGGCTGCAAAGCGGCCCAACACGCTTCCTAAGTTCATTCATCCTGCACCATGTAACTGGGGTTCAACTCTAGGACGGCCAGCCTCCGGGGAGAATGGTGGTGGACGAAGAGATGCCGAAGGAATAGTCACTCAAGAACAACATTCGTGCCCAGATGCGGTGGCTCAGTGGTTGAGTGTTGACCTATGAACCGGGAGGTCACGGTTCGATTCCCGGTCAGGGCACATACCCGGGTTGCGGGCTTGATCCCCAGTGTGGGGTGTGCAGGAGGCAGCCGATTCTCTCTCATCATTGATGTTTCTCTCTCTCTCCCTTCCTCTCTGAAATCAACAAAAATATTTTTTTAAAAAATAAATAAATGTTTATCAAATGTCTATTGTGTGTCTGGGAACTGGAGACACAGTAGAAAAACAAAACCAAGATCCCTGTTTTCATGGGACTTACATTCTGATGGGAGGAGTCAGGATAATAAACAAAACAGTAAAATCAATAAAAATGTCTATTTCTTAAAAGAACAGCATTCCCTGAGCGCCTGTTGTGTGCCCGGCACTGGGCCGGGGGTGCGTACTGAGTGGACAGGGCTGACCACGGCTGAGAGACACAGTGTAAGGAGAACCCAGGTGGACATTCAGAGGGGCGGCCCCGCTGGTTGCAGACTCCGTCACGGGCCTTCTTTGCCTCCGTGTCTCCTCCTCTCTTACCTTTTGTTCTGCCTGCGCTTGGGGCTCTGTCACAGGCGTGCGTGTCTGGGCTCTGCCCTCGGAGCGTGTGTGGGCGGAGGATTCTGTGCTTCTCCCGAGCTCTCCAGGCAATCCTGGCTGTGAGCCGGGGCTGGAGCACCGCCTTGGGGGACCCATGGCGGGTAACGGGGTGGCACCCCGCGTGGTGAGAAGGCGCGATGAGTCGCAGTCCCCTTGTGGAAGGAGATGCAGTGCCCTCTGGAAGCTGCCCGGAGGGCAGCAGGCGTCCCTCCTCTGCGCTCCACTGCGGCCTGCACACCGTCCCTGGTAACCCTGGCTCATCCCGTCTCTGCTGCTGGACTCTGAGTTCTGAGATGACGATAACATTGCATCTCCCTTTCCCTGGCGTTTGGGAGCAGGTGGGTACACAATAAACAGGGCTGCGGAGGGACTGCCGTGTATTTCCGCGTCCTGCTCGTGGGGATAAAACCTAGGCAGGGAGACGTGCATGTGGAATATATCGAGAGAGAGATCCGGAAGCACCCTCCCCGTCGGGGTGAGGCTGCCCAGGCGGTCTGGGACAGAGCGGCCCGGCTCCGGCTGCAAACCCGCTCCGGCTTGCTGGGGGAGCACCCATGTCCCCGTTTTCTCAAGCGCCCGGGTTGGCTTTGGAGGAGCAAATGTGAGAAATAAAACGCATCTCGATGGGGCTTGCAGGGAAATATCCAGGATTCTCAGACACACCCTGTAATACAGTCCTTAAAAGCAAAACCTCGAGCTCCCTGAAACCTTACTTTTTAAATAAGGCTCCTCCCCCTCTCCCCCCAACCCCACCCCACCTGCCTGCTGGTAAGCAATGCCTCTGAGGGGCCACAGTCCAGGGACCATTAAGTAACCCAGGGTGGATGAAACCTTCTCTACCCTGAAGGCATTCAGGAGCAAAATAGGAAAACCTTTTGAATTCTGTATGTCAGCTAAGACATCAGAAAAGCAGAAAGTTCTCGCTTCCACATGGCTTTACTTTGTAAAGGTTTGCGTGCGTGTGTGTGTGTGTGTGTGTGTGTGTGTGTGTGTGTGTGTGTGGCGCCCAGCGTGCTTGCCCAGGGGACTGACCACGTGCCACTTGTCATGCGCTACCAGCGCCAATCCCCAACACGGTCAAACGGAGCTCTGCCGCCACCTGGTGGCGTCGTGAGAGGCTCACAAGAGGGATGATCTGTCTGCTCATGCTCTAAGCCAGCGGTTCTCAACCTGTGGGTCGCGACCCCTTTGGGGGTCGAACGACCCTTTCACTGCGGTCGCCTAAATACATCCTGCATATCAGATATTTACATTATGATTCCTAACAGTAGCAACATGACAGTTATGAAGTAGCAACGAAAATAATTTTATGGCTGGGGGTCACCATACCATGAGGAACTGTATGAAAGGGTCGCGGCATGAGGAAGGTTGAGAACCACTGCAACGAAATCCAAAAACACCCCAGGAGCCCACACAAGGGCGGTTGCCTTAGGAAAAGATGAGAGTAGGAGATACTGCTGCCTTTTTATTTAAAAAAAAAAAAAATCTCCAGTGTTTCACATCGACGTGGTTTCAAAAAGACTTCAGGTCTTTAAAAGGAAGGCTTCCCGTTTATTTTGCCAAAGGTAACAATTTCACTTTGAAAAAAGCCTCAACATAAAAAGCTGCCTTTAAGCCCCTCGGGGACCTGTCACAAACGATCAGGTTCCCCCTTCAGTAGTCGATCTTTTCGATTTCATCCATGTCTTCCGGGTTGAGCTGCTTAATGCTGCTGTCTGAAAGAACAAGGGGGCACCCCAGCCTGACCCCGGGCCGCACGCCATGTCCCCCCATCCCGCTCCGGGACCACTGCAGCACTGAAGACGGGGACCCCCGTGAAGGTGCGCTCCTGCGACACCCTGTGTGGAGAGCCTGGGGGCAGGAGCGCTCTCTAGTCAGGTGAGGAGGGGGTGGCATCTAAACAGCCACTGGGACCCCCTGAAGCAGCATCCTAGGCACCAGGCAACAGAGCGCCAGGTCTGGGTACCAGGGGCAGAAAAAGGCCTTGGCCCATGCGAGGGGCGGGAAGGGGTCTGCTGAGCCCCAGGGGTCAGTGGTGGCCACAGGGAGAGGGACTAAGGCTCCTCCGCTGAGTCACTTCCCCAGACAAGGTCTGCAGGAGCTCACACAGCCACGGTGGATCTGAATGGTTCTCCCTGCCCCTACCCTAACACAGGGTGCTGAGTCAGCGTCCCTGAAGGGTCCACGGATGTGCTGCGGCCAGTCTGCAAACCCTTTATTGTGTGTGTGTGTGTGTGTGTAATTCCCACCTGGGAATGTTTTCTTCCATTGATCTTTAGAGAAAGAGTAGGAGGGAGGGAGGAGGGGAGAGAGAGTAAAATCAATGTGAGAGAGACACATCGACTGGTTGCCTCCCACATGCACCCCAACCAGGGCCAGGGATCGAACCTGCAATCGAGTCCACACCCCTGACTGGAAATCAAGCCCGAAACCCGTGGGTCCCTGGGCTGGCGGTCTGACCACTGAGCTGACCGGCCAGGGCCGTCTGCAAACCCTTTACACTTATATTCCAAACTGCACACGTGTGCCTCTGTGCGTGTCCCTGGGGGTGCCCACTGCTTCTCACCGAGGGTAAGGGCCACCGTCCTAAACGGTGAGAGGTTCCTCTTCCCCTGCTCCCCAGCGTGCCCATGGGCTTCGGGGCCTGGGGGTCACTGACAAGGGGCCACCTCAGGGACATCACCCCTGGAGTTTCCTCGGAGGGCACCCTGCCAGCCCAGAGCTGGCCTGGTTGAGACGGGGCCGGGGGAAGGGCCCCTGACCTCAGAACGCAGGGCTGTCCTGGCTGGTAGGTGGGGTGAGAAAAAGGGGAGAAAATGTAAGAGAGGAAGTGGGGACAGAGTATGCTCTCCACGGCGCTGCTACCTGGTTTAGGTTGGTTCTTTCCAGGACATGAAAATCCGCTCCAGATCCCAGAATGAGCAATAGCGTATAAAGACCTGAGCTCACACAGATTTAAGACGTTCTACTTAATGACCACGTGCGGAGTGACTGTCTCACAGCGGGAACTCTGCATCGGAAGCCTCCTGTCCCCTCTTGTCCCCTCCTCGGGAATGGGGTCCACGCCCCGCGTCGTCACTGCCGACGTGCGCCGGCCCCCATCCCCCACCCCCCTTCCTGCGAGTGATGCTACTCACTGAAGTGGTCCTGGATCTTCATGAGCAGCGGCAGCTTATCGACCTCGATCATGTTGAAGGCGAGGCCCTTTTTCCCAAAGCGCCCGGTCCGCCCGATGCGGTGGAGGTAGGTCTCATACTCTGGCTCCTCCAACTGGTTCACAGGGAGGTCAAAGTTCACCACAATCGTGACCTGCTTCACATCGATCCCTGGAAGAGGACAGACAGTGGGCACCACAGAACAGGACATTTCCATCAATACCAACGTTTCTGTTAAGACAACACTGGCCGAGAGAGTCCAGGGTCCAGGCAGGGACCTCAGCCTTCCTCAGGCTACTCCTCCAAAGTGCCAAGCTCAGCCCTCGGGGCAGGTCCTCCGTTCTGTTTGCTGAACTAAGAATGAATTAGGGAGCAGGGTCTGAGGAGGGGGGTCTAGGCAAGGATACAGGAGGGATGAAGGAAGTCGAAAGTCCCTGCTCTTGAAAACACATGGAGATGAACGTCATTAGTCACTAGGAACACAAGTTAAAAGCACGAGATACCACACAACATCTCCCGGAAAGGCTAAAATGGAAAAAACAACACCAAGTGCTGACAGGAATGCAGAGCAACTGGAATGCTCCTATGCTGCTGGCGCAAATGAATAATGGTGCAGCCACTTGGGAACAAAACCTTGGCACTTTCCGGTAAAACAGCGGTTCTCAACCTGTGGGTCTCGACCCCTTTGGCGGTCAAACGACCGACCCTTTCACAGGGGTCGCCTAAGACCATCCTGCATATCAGATATTTACATGACGACTCATCACAGTAGCAACATGACAGTGATGAAGTAGCAACAAAAATAATTTTATGGTTGGGTCACAACATGCGGAACTGTATTTAAAGGGTCAGAAGGTTGAGAACCGCTGCTGTAAAGCTAGACATAGACTTCCCACATGACCCAGAAATCCAAGTCCTAGGTGTTTTGCCCAAGGGACATGGAAACATACGTCTACACAAGACCTACACATGCGTGTTTATTACAGCTTTATTCAAAGTAGCCCCAAACTGGAGACCATCCAAATGGCCATCGGCGGATGAATGGACGCACTAACTGTGGTACATCCATTCGGTGGAAGACCACGTAGCAAGAACACGGCGTGAACCACTGATCCCTGTAACGGCGCCGATAAACTCAAAAGCATTATGGCAAGTGGAAGAAGTGGGCCACAAGGGCTGCCGAGTGTAGGATTTAATTTGTACGGTACCTGGAAGAGACAAGAGGGAGACCGAAATCTGACCTATAGTTGCCAGGGGCCAGTAGTGGCAGAGACGGACTTACAAGCAGCTCAGTTTTGAGGGGTAGGTGGCCAATGTTCTGTATTTTGACTACAGCGATGGGTACAGGACCCTATATGTTTGTCAAAACTCATATATTGTAAACTGTACATTGTATTCTAGGTATTGGACCATATACCTAAGAGTGAATTTTATCAGATATAAATTATACCTCAACAAACTTGGCTTTAAATACACACACACACACACACACACACACACACACACACACGTACCTCGGGCACAGACATTGGTGGTTATAAGAACTTTCTCTTTCCCATCCCGAAACCTCTGGATGATGGAAGCCCGCTGATCCACGGTCAGCTCTCCGCTCAACAAAGACACCTGGTGGCCATCCTGCATCATCTCCACAGTCAGCCACTTGGCGTTTCGACGAGTCTACATGAGAAAGCAGAGCCCGGCACAGCCCCCCGAGTTAAAGCAGACGGGCTGTGTTCACCATGCCCATGGGTGCGGGCCGGAGCCGGGAGGGCTGGCCTGGAGGAATTCTGCGCTTCTAAGGGTCTCATCCTCTCAGCCTCTCAGCCTCTCAGCTGTGGCTCCTCAGCCACGAAACAGATTCGAGACATGCCCCGCACATGCTGGTGCAATGACAACATGAGATGACGTAATAATGACTACGTCAGACTCTCCAAGTGCTCCATGCACGCCGGGCATGTTTCTAAAATCTTTACCTGTGGCCTAGCCGGCGTGGCTCAGTGGTTGAGTGTTGACCTATGAACCAGGAGGTCATGGTTCGATTCCCAGTCAGGGCACATGCCCAGGTTGCGGGCTTGATCCTCAGTGGGGGGCGTGCAGGAGGCAGCCAATGGAGGATTCTCATCATTGGTGTTTCTCTCTCTCTCTCTCTCCCTCTCCTTTCCTCTCTGAAATCAATAAAAATCTATTTGAAAATAAAATAAAAATTTTACACGCAATAATCTGACAAAGTAGTTGTCTCATTTCATTTTTAAAAATTAAAAAAAAACACACACAAAACCTTGAAGACATGAGGACCCTGCCCCAGGTTCATGGTTGGCCCGTGGCAGAGCTGGGTTTTCCTTTATCCTACAAACGCGCCCTCAGTGTGGGCCAGGGCCCGGTGAGCACTCTAGGGCAGGGCTAGGGGAGCAAGACAGATGGGGCCCTGCTGCCGTGGGGCTCAGTGTCCACGTGGGAGTGAGGAAGTAAAAGGAACACACGCACACCGGGGATGTCAGGGAGCAAAAGATAAAAATGAAGACAGAAGGAGCGCGATGTGAGCAGTGAGGAGCTGAGCGGCTGCTTCGCTCACAGCACGCTAGGGAGGGAGGAGAACATTCTTAATCTGGCAAAGGGTGTCTGGGGAAACCCCACCATCAACACCAACCCACATGGGGGAGGGGCAGAAGCCACCCCGCTAACACAGGATGCCCTCGCTGTAACATACAGAAGTCCCACCCCCTTACTTATTCTTCCTCAGCTCCACCCACAAAATACACATCATCTCTACTCAGAGCTGCTCTGGACATTGAACTGCACCATGTACAGGAAGTGCCGAGCACGGAGCATGGCTACACCGCTCTCTGGGCGCCGCCGTCCCCGCTCGGCCTGCAGGGAGGAGGCGGGGCCCCGGAAGACATCTCGGCAGGTACCTGGCAGAAGATGATGGCCTGTCCGATGGTGATGCCGCCGTAGATGTTGCACAGCGCCTGGTACTTGTCCTTCCGGCTCTCGCACAGCACGTAGTACTGCCGGATGTTGTTCAGGGTCAGCTCCTCTTTCCGCAACTTGATAACATTGGGGTCGGGAATGATTCGCCCCGCAAACTGCCACACGGAGTCCTCAAAGGTGGCCGAGAAGAGGAGCATCTGGCACTCGGAGGATAAAGCCCTGTGAGAGGGACGGGAAGGGGGCTGTGACCTGCCACCCGTGCTACTCACCCGGGGAGGCAGCTCTGAGCGCTTCGTGCCTGCTGCCACCAGCGCCACGCCCCCGCCCTCCCCCCCCACCCCCCCCCTCCCCCCGCACACACACCTGCTCAGGGGGTCAGCGTACAGGTGTGCCTACAGCCAGCGGAACCTCCACGCACAGAGCAATGCGTCCTGCTCCTCCTCACCACCCAGAATTTGGAAAACCACGTAGACTGAGCATGAAGCTCAAGAGCAAAAAATTTTTTTAATATATTTTTACTGATTTTTTTTTTTTTTTTTTGAGAGAGAGAGGAAGGGAGAGGGAGACAGAGATAGAAACACCGATGAAAGGGAAACATCGATCGGCTGCCTCCTGCACGCCTCCCCAGCCCGGGATAGAGCCCACAACCCGGGCAAGTGCCTTGACCGGGAAGCAAACCAGTGACCTCTTGGTGCAGGTCAATGCTCTACCACTGAGCCACACCAGCTGGGCTCGAGAGCAAAATTTACACGTGCTTTCTATCCATGCAGGGCCTCCAGCTCTCAGCAGCGAAAGAGCAGCGGCCACGACTAACTGCGTTTGCAGCAGGAAGAGCGCAGACATTACAGGCAAAGTCGGAACTAGACTACTAGGCTCCCGATCCCAGTTATGTCTTCTCTATGCCCTTACCTGCCCACCACAACCTTCCAGTAGCTCTATCAGATTTCAACAAATTCTCTTTAGGACTTTGCTCCCAATTAAAAAAAAAATTACTGGCAAATTCTGGAGCAAAACCCTGTCTATGAATTGATCTATAACAGCCGTGGGCAAACTACGGCCCGCGGGCCGGATCTGGCCCGTTTGAAATGAATAAAACTAAAAAAAAAAAAAAAGACCGTACCCTTTTATGTAATGATGTTTACTTTGAATTTATATTAGTTCATACAAACACTCCATCCTTGCTTTTGTTCCGGCCCTCCGGTCCAGTTTAAGAACCCATTGTGGCCCTCGAGTCAAAAAGTTTGCCCACCCCTGCTCTATAACGTAAGCCCAGGGCGCACAGGAGAGCAGTCGGGAAGGTGGGAAATGACAGCGGCTGGAGGGCCCTGAGGAGGCGGGGACTTTGTTCGAAGGTGAAGGAGGTGGGGAACTGAGCAGTAAGCCAAGCAGGAGCAGCAGACAGAGGCAGTTTCTCCTCCGGACAAGAGATGCAGGGAGGGAGGGTGGCGGTGAGGATTACCTCTGGATCCGAATGCTCTGATCTGAGAACCCTTGTGTGGCGATCATCACATCTGCTTCGTCCAGGACAAACACACGGATCTTGCTCAAGTCAATTAATTTCCGCTTGAAGTACCAGTCCAGGACTGTCCCGGGAGTGCCGATGATAATCTGCTGGGTGATGTCCACGCTCCTGGGAACTGGGAGAGGAGGGTTTGCAGGGCGAGGCCACACAGGACTCTGACCCCACGTGCATTGCCTAAGGCAGTGATGGCGAACCTTTTGAGCTCGGCGTGTCAGCATTTTGAAAAACCCTAACTTAACTCTGGTGCTGTGTCACATACAGAAATTTTTTGATCTTTGCAACCATAGTAAAACAAAGACTTCTATTTTTGATATTTATTTTATATATTTAAATGCCATTTAACAAAGAAAAATCAACCAAAAGAATGAGTTCGCGTGTCGCCTCTGACACGTGTGTCATAGGTTCGCCATCACTGGCCTCAGGGCTGTCCGAGCGCGAGCCCTGAGGTCACTGTGCTTTCGAAATGCCCAGAATTTTTAAATACGTTCCCGAGTTTTACGGCAATGACAATACCCTGCATATCTGACTCATGTAAAAAGCCACCCGCAGCAAGCCCACCCACCCTGCAGAAATACTGGCACAGCTGTGAAAACCCCACGCACCCTCCCCGCATGGAAAACCACCACCCTGTCTATCAGCAGGTCACGTGTAATAAATGATCACGTATTATGCAGCTGGTCAAAAGCATGAAGTAGGGCGACATGGACTGATGTGGAAAGATGCCCAAAACATGGAAGTGTGTGACCGTTATGAAAAAAAATCCCGGTTTTTGTAAACACTCTAAAAAAAAAGCACAAAACATAGGTCGATTGCCCGGCTGGTGTGGCTCCATGGTTGAGCATCAATCTATGAACCAGGAGGTCACGGTTCGATTCCCGGTCAGGGCACAGGCCCAGGTTGCGGCTCGCTCCCCAATAGAGGGCGTATAGGAGGCAGCTGATCAGTGATTCTCTCTCATCATTGATGTTTCTCTCTCTCTCTCTCTCTCTCTCTCTCTCTCTCTCTCTTTCCCTCTCTCAAATCAATAAAAATATATTAAGAAAACCACCACAAAGGACTGTTAACAGAACTGTAGTTCCCTTTGGAAGCAAGTTTTGGGGAACAAGGAAGAACAACTTTCACTTTCACCGCCTAATCCAGGGGTCCTCAAACTACGGCCCACGGGCCACATGCAAATACAAATATTGTATTTGTTCCCGTTTTGTTTTTTTTACTTCAAAATAAGATATGTGCAGTGTGCATAGGAATTTGTTCATAGTTTTTTTTTAAACTATAGTCCGGCCCTCCAAGGGTCTGAGGGACAGTGAACTGGCCCCCTGTTTAAAAAGTTTGAGGACCCCTGGCCTCATCTGTGTCTTAAAGGTATTTTTCCTGCTTACCCACATGCAATACTCTAATGAAAAAGTTAAACAGTAAAAGCTGCCCTGCGCCCAACAGGTGAGCGTCAGAGAAAAGAAAATGCAAACGCGTCCTCCTGCAGGAGGCGGAAACGGTGGCCACGAGGGTCCTCGGGCGCCAGGCGTGTGCACAGCGCTTTGTCCATATCCCTGCGCTTCACTCTGACACCGGCCCGGTGAGCAGGTGCCTCTCAGGCCCCACTTTAGAGATACGGAAGCAGAGACGTTATAGAACATGCGGGTTAGCGGTGGACTCGGGGCTGACACC